TTGATCCATTACATGTTATCTCTTTAAAATTCATATATTTCTAATGTAGTAAGTAAAGCACAAACTGTTAGGCAATAAAAAAATTGGCTTTAAATGAAACATATTAACAATCCCCCCCCCAAAAAAACCCTTGAAACCTTTTAATTAAGTTTTTAAACACTTTATGTTCTACCTGTGTGTTCTTTGGGGAATATGTTGTTTTTAATACCTTGACTTATCCTGTTAACTAAAAGTTGAGAGAAGCAATTGTAATTTTGCTTTTCTTGATGTCTTTCTAGACCCTTTGACACCGAAGATTACATTCTAGTGGTTAATTCAAAAGTGTATACTTACAGAAGAGAAAAAAGTACTAAAGTAAATATTTTTCAAACTATCTTGGACCTATAGGTTGCTAGGTTAAAAGTGGTTAACCGAAAAATTTTTAAGTCAGCATAGCTCTATTTGAGAATCCCTAACATGAGTTTCTGTTCACATTTGTTTCTGCGGAAACTCATTCAGTAAGATGATAATTGGTATAACACTACTAAAAGGTTTCATAGTCAAGTTTGAGAAGTACAAGATAAAACTGTTAAACTGCTTTTTTTGTTTGGTATAATTTTACTGTGCTAGTATGCATATGATCATGAAACACTTTTTTGCAGGAGCCACAAGAACATAATCTGGAGCATTCTACACCTACCTCTAATAGCAATGCTGAATCTGAGGGTTATCCCAAGTTGTTATCTCTGGCCCAGTCTTTCTCAAATAATGTTATTCATCAGAATCATCTGTAAGGCTTCACATAAAAATGCTGGGAACACATCCCTGATTTATTGAAAGGGAGTAACAGGGGTAGGATAGGGTCTTTAATCATAACGTTTTCACAAGCTCCACGAATCACTATTGAAGAAACACTGCTATGAATATTACTATTACTTTTTGCTACAGTTTCAGTCTTCACTTATGTCTCTATATCCATCTAATGTTGTCTATATTTTGTAGCTCAAGAATCTTCCCTTACAAGCCAAATTAAAATAGCAATATTCTAGGTGAAAGTATATAGTAACTGTTTAAGCAGACTATTCATAACATTAGATACTCTAATAGTATAGCAATCTATGAAAGCTGAAACTGTAATAAGAGAACTTTAAATAATATGGAAGAAAAATAACTTCTCTAACAACTCAAGGCTCTCCTCCTTCAAAATCTAGCTGAATGCTTATTATCTTTAAGACTTCCTGTTTCCACAAAACTCTGAACATTCATCAGACCTAAATTTAGTTATATATTTTGTTTAACATAATTGCATTTGTCTATCACTTTAGAATTTTTTTTTAAAGAGTCACAGAACCTCATAGGAGGCATGTTAGTGATAATTTACTATAACTTCCCAGCACATGCTGAAATGTTCTCTAAAAGACTTTGGTTTTATAAGTCTCATTGTGAATGTTTTTCTTGTTTCTCTCAGACATTATAAAAAAAAAAAACACTCATTTCTTTTCTAGCTATATTAGATGCAATTAATGAATGTTGTTGACTGACAGCCAAATGAGTTGGTAGTCCATAAAATTTACTGTTTAGTCTACATTAAATTATTTTCCATTATCAAAATGAATAGGCTTTAAGTGCTTCACTTAAAAATGAGTAATAAAATGACCAGTAAATAAGTCATGATTTTATTATCTACTTGTTAATAGCTAAGGCTCTTGGTTGTCAATGATAGCACTCTAGCTCAAACTACTTTAATCAAAAATGGAATGCATTTCTTTTTAAATGAAAAAAGCAAGCTAAGGCAGCCATTGGCAGAATTGCACCCAAGTACCCAAAGACATCAGTAGTATTTCTCTCTGCTACTCTCAGCCCTGTTTTTCTGGAATTGGCATTTTTCTCACTGGGTTTCCTGACGGTATCAAAGATGGCTAAGGAGCAGCTTTAAGATTCTACTTCATTATCCATTCATCTGTTGATGGACATCTAGGTTCTTTACATAGTTTGGCTATTGTAGACATTGCTGCTATAAACATTCGGGTGCACGTGCCCCTTTGGATCATTACATTTGTATCTTTAGGGTAAATACCCAGTAGTGCAATTGCTGGGTCATAGGGTAGTTCTATTTTCAACATTTTGAGGAACCTCCATGCTGTTTTCCAGAGTGGTTGCACCAGCTTGCATTCCCACCAACAGTGTAGGAGGGTTCCCCTTTCTCTGCATCCTCGCCAGCATCTGTCATTTCCTGACTTGTTAATTTTAGCCATTCTGACTGGTGTGAGGTGATATCTCATTGTGGTTTTGATTTGTATTTCCCTGATGCCGAGTGATATGGAGCACTTTTTCATGTGTCTGTTGGCCATCTGGATGTCTTCTTTGCAGAAATGTCTGTTCATGTCTTCTGCCCACTTCTTGATTGGATTATTTGTTCTTTGGGTGTTGAGTTTGCTAAGTTCTTTATAGATTTTGGACACTAGCCCTTTATCCAATATGTCATTTGCAAATATCTTCTCCCATTCTGTCAGTTGTCTTTTGGTTTTGTTAACTCTTTCCTTTGCTGTGGTATATATACACAATGGAATACTATGCAGCCATCAAAAGAAATGAAATCTTGCCATTTGCGATGACGTGGATGGAACTAGAGGGTATCATGCTTAGCAAAATAAGTCAATCAGAGAAAGACAACTATCATATGATCTCCCTGATATGAGGAAGTGGAGATGCAACATGGGGGGTTAAGGGGGTAGGAGAAGAATAAATGAAACAAGATGGGATTGGGAGGGAGACAAACCATAAATGACTCTCAATCTCACAAAACAAACTGAGGGTTGCTGGGGGGAGGGGGATTGGGAGAAGGGGGGTGGGGTTATGGACATTGGGGAGGGTATGTGCTATGGTGAGTGCTGTGAAGTGTGTAAACCTGGCGATTCACAGACCTGTACCCCTGGGGATAAAAATATGTTTATAAAAAAATAATTAAAAAATTTAAAAAAAGATTCTACTTCAAATACTCTGCTAATCCAAATGTAAAATATCTTATGCCCAAAATGTCTGACAAATTCTGGAGTGGAATCTTATTGGCTCAGCTTCAGTTGCAGACCCACCCCTGAGCCAATTATTATAGTTTTTATTGGTAGAATATTCTGATTGACCAGATGATTATGCCCAGATTTGTCCCCAGTCCCATTGAAAGTGACCAGTGAGTGACAGATCATGTTTCAGAGGAAATAAGGGATGTTGTTACCAAAATAGGAGGAAGAAATGCTAAGTAGATGAAAATAAGTGTTTTTTGAGATCTGGGATCAACTTATACTCTGCCACCTTTGGCCTGTGTTCTCTATGAAATACTGTTTATTTAGTTGATGAGTTCAGATTTCATTGATAGCAGTCAATACTTTGAAAAAGGCAATTATTTTCACAGCTAGAGGGAAAATATGATGATATATTCTTTATATCATATGATTGTATTTTAAGAGTTAATAATTCTAATTCTAAAAGACATGGAAGCTAACCATTTGATTAATACCTAAAGTTTCAATTCATGTACCAATTCATTAATCATAAGCATTTGCGTGTTATGCATGGAAGATGCATAATAGGTGTGATTTCATAGTCATGAGAATAAAATTTACAAAAACATAGTGTATTTACATAAAAAATGAAAACCAATTGTTCAAGTATTAAAATGCAAAATGCTATCTTTCTGTGGCTTCCATTCTGACACTTAGCAGGTGCATATTTTTCTTCCAAAATAATTAGTTAAAGCAAAAAAAAAAAATTCTTAGGACAAGTCATGTCAATACTACCTTTAAAAAAAAGTGCTGGGCACCTGGGTGGCTCAGTGGGTTCAAGCCTCTGCCTGCGTCTCGGGTCATGATCCCAGGGTCCTGGGATTGAGCCCCGCATCGGGCTCTCTACTCAGCAGGGAGCCTGCTTCCCCCTCTCTCTGCCTGCCTCTCTGCCTACTTGTGATCTCTGTCATAAATAAATAAAATCTTTAAAAAAAAGTGCTAAAATATTGTACCTATGGATAAGGAGTTAAAAACAGAACAAAATGTACTCTTAGAAAGTTAAAGTCAGGGGCGCCTGGGGGGCTCAGTGGGTTAAAGCTTCTGCCTTCGGCTCAGGTCATGATCCCAGGCTCCTGGGATGGAGCCCCATGTTGGGCTCTCTGCTCAGTAGGGAGCCTGCTTCCTCCTCTCTCTCTGCCTGTCTCTCAGCCTACTTGTGATCTCTGTCTGTCAAATAAATGAATAAAATCTTTTAAAAAAAAAAAAGAAAGTTAAAGTCAAAATAATGTCCTTCATAGTATATTCACAATGACAGATTTTACTTATTCCATTAACTTTCCCATTCTATTAAGACCATTTTAAACTACCTTTTGGGAAGAGCCCTCAAGACCAGTTTATAAGCCACTTCAAAAAGTATCTTTGTTATTATTATCACATCACATATCTTCTTTATAATTAATTAAAACAATTTAAATCCACAACTTCCTCAACAGATTTGACTTAAAGTGACTCCCAGTTAATTCCTATATTGTATATCCCAAAAGATAAAGATTTGTCATGGTAGAAGACATTCAAAGAATGGATCACATCAAGTCAGTTCCAAATAAAATATTTTTCTTATATAAAATTATAAAAAAATATTTTAGGTAATTACAACATCTTCAGAATAGGTGGCCAACCTTTAAGAAGGACAAAACTAAGGTGAAAAACTTCCATCTGAGAAATGTCATTACTTTATGGTCACCTTAATATGTACATATTTACTGTGCATTATAAAAGTAAATTTATCTATGTAGGTAAGATATAGTTCATTTTTTAGAGTTGAAAGACCATACTAAAGGTGAGGTGTAAAAAGAAGGGATGGGGCACCTGTGTGATGGAGTCAGTTGAGCATCAGACTTTTGGTTCCAGCTAGCGTCAGGGTCTTGGGGCGTGGGATAGAGACTTGCATCAGGCTCCATGTTCAGCAGGGAGTCAGCTTGAGATTCTCTCTCTCCCTCTTCCTGTCTCTCCCCCTGTTCACTCACTAAAAAACTCTTAAATAAGTAAATCTGAAAAAAAAAATAAAAAGAGGGACTAATATGAATTCATTTTAGGATAATTTTTATGTGATAATTTTTAATACACATAAATATCCTTTTAGCTATTTTTCATTAAATCTTAAATTTTATAATACTTTTTAAACTCCTATCACAATGTTTTACCATCTCTAACACAATGTTACTTTAGCTGAAAAGCAGAACAATTTCAAAATCATAACTTTCAGTGAAATCAATCAGCTGATAAAATGGCAGGCTCATGCTTCTGCTAGAATTAGTGTGCTGATGAAGCCAAGTTCACAGGTTTGATCCCTAAGTGGGCCAATTTACTTTGCTGCAGGCAGTCCCTTAGACCCTGGCCTGACATCCTGCAAATGGGAACCATCAGTCATAAGGAGAAGCTGGGAAAAAAAGTGGGGGTGGACTAGAGCCAACTCATCCCCACTGTAGGAAAACAACTTCATATCCAGGCCAGCTGATAGCTATGTAGTAGCATTTCTCCTGTAAATAAAAGAGGGGGCTATCTTCCAAATGATAGTGAATTGGCACAGGTCAGAGTGTAAATATGATCTCCAGAAATATACTTTAAGATAAAGTATGTCAACAATTACTGAACTAGTAATTAATTGTTGGTTTGATGAGGGTTGAACCAAGTATGCTAGAAGGTTTATAGAGACCCCAAATGAATTTATTTATAATGTATTCATTACTAACTTCCAGAAAACATTGGCTGCTGCTCAAACAAAAGAGAAAATGTAGCTACTAGCTGAGTAATTATGTTAATAGACTGGATAAAACAAAAACCATCAAAGCATTATGTGTCAAAATTTTATTTAACTCATTAGTGAGGGAACTAGCGAGACGAAAAGGTAATTCCAAATAAAATTTAAGAGCTGAAATTTTTTTAGTAGGAAAAATATAAAAGCTGGACTGAGTACCAAATTAGATATAAGATGGTTAAAATCCTACAGGGCTATAAAACTATCATACCTTACCAGTTTACAGAACTGTAAAATGGCCCTAATCAGTTGTGCAAACAAAGCTATATTCCCTTAGAGCGTATTAGAAACAGCTGGGGAGTTTTAAAAACACTGATAACGAGATCTTACCCCCCAATAGTCTGACTTAATTGGAAACTGGGTAAGGCCTGAGCAGCAAGATTATTAAAGCCTTCCCAGCTGATTCTAATGTGCAACCATGTCTGAGAACCACTGCCCTAGGAAGTGACATGGCCTTTCACAAGAGCTTTCAACAATTTGCCCTTCCACAATGCTACTCACAATGTGTAGCATTGTCTGGCAGCACTGCCATCACCCGAGAGCTGTTAATTCAGTTTGGGGGTTCCCATTTCAGATATGTGGAGTCGATCTACATTTAAAAAATATCACCAGGTAATTCAGATTCACATTAAACTTTGATAAGTACCTTTCTAACATATTGAAAGGATTTGCAATTCCTTTTTTTTCCCCCTTATTTCCAAGCTTTAGGAAAAATTCCCTAACACCTAAACTGCTACATATCTCCAAAACAGCCCCAAATAGCACTTTAACAATAATGACATTTGTGAAGAGGGAAGTCAACTCTAAGCTGAGAAATCTGCCCTAGATCAGTCAATGGTCCTACTACCGGGGATCCTCAGCTACCAGGGGCACCTGGGATAATAGACTTAGGAGTATTTTAGAAGAATAGAAGGGTATTTAAGGGATCTTAGGGTTAAGCATTATTCTTTATGGACTGCCTTTACTAAGGGCTGCTGGAAAATGGAAAAGGGGTTGTCAGACATGAGCCAGTCCTTTTTAACCACTAGCCAATCATGTAACAAGTGGGATATACTAGCTATGGAGGAAAAAAAAAAAAAAAGGTGAATGCCTAACTACAACAAAATATGAACTTTTCAGTGAAAATGTTTAAACAACTTACTCGGCATCAAGTTCCTAAAATTTTGAGGGTCAGTGTATCAACCCAGACTTACTGTTAATTATATTTTGTAAAAGGCTGACAAGAGAGTTTACTATGCCCTAAGTTTTCATACTCAAGTATTGATCAGGCAACAAAACCCTCTATATAGCTAATGACATGAAAACATGAATAATGTTCTAAAGTGGAAATTTCCAGAAATGAGTTTTTCACTTTGTTATTCACTTAGTTATTCACAAAGTATGATAACTATATTCAATCTGCAAAGTCCTACTAATTAAACAAGTTTTTGATTCATGTATTTATTATATATTTACTGAGTACTGAGTACTTTTCTATGTTTACAGTTGTGAAGAAAAACATGGTCCCCGTCTTTATGGAGCTTACAGTCCAGTATAGGAACAAGGGTAGTAAACAAATGAAAAAAATAACAAATGTTTTTGTTATTAAAAAAAAAAAAGCTTAGTAGGTATTATAAAAGAACAGGGTCATTTAAATGAAAATTATTTACCCAATGTGTAAATAAATTTATTACCTGTAGCTTTACAAGTCTTCACAAATAAGTTCTCAAATCACAAAAATTTTAATCATAAAATATATAAATTAGTAGCTATACATTTCACTAAGGCTGCCAAATGTACTTGACTCTGCTTAACTCCTCCAATGATACAAAACCTCCAAAAGTTCTGACAATGCTTCTCTGACCTTCTTTTTCTTCACTATGGCAAATATTGATAGTTTTCTCTGAGCAGCTGAATGTGTGATGTATCTTCCAAAGACCTAAAAAAAATCACAGAGACTTTAGTTAGGGCAGAGATTAAATGTAAATATTGATTCAGGTACCTTAAATCCTCTCTGGAACAGTAATGGAAATTATATATATTTATACATACACACACACACACACACACACACACACACACACACTTAGATAATCTCCAATTTCAAAGATGCTGCTTTGGTGTATTTCATTAAACCCAGCAGAAAACTACAAATAATATCACAAGTGAAAACGTATAAAGCCCCTGCATGGTAAGATTATCTGAATTTTTTGTTTTGGTTTTCTCTTTCTCCATGGCTATATAAATGCAGTTGCTTTCCCCAGATAATATCCTTAGACTTATCATGCTTAATTTGTCATGATTATAACTGCTATCATTTGCATTATTTATCCAGAATGCCTCCTCTCCCCTTCACTCATTCATTAACTTTCATTATTACTGGTTCCTCTATCCCCTTACCTCTAAGCTTCCCCTGAAGTCTGTTTCCTTCCCTCTTTATTCTCAGGTGGTCAGTTTGAGACACACTTTTCAAGTTGTGATTTTCAGAACACATAGACCTAAACTTCGATTCTCCTTCCTCCAAGGAGCCCAGGAAGAGAAAAATATGCCAGATAATTTAACAATGAATGTACCCACACGTAATCAATAAGGAACTGCATCAAATGTTCTTTCTACATTGTCATCCCCTATTTTCCCCCAGTTTTATTGAGATAGACTTGACATATAACATTGCATGAGATTTAGTTGTACAACATGGTGTTTCATATACTTATATATTGTAAAATGATTAGTATACTCAGTTTAGTCATCATCACACACTGTTAAAACTTTTTCCCTGTAATGAGAACTTTGAAATCTACACGACTAACAACTTTCAAATACACAATGCAGCACTAGTAACTTTAGTCACCATGCTGTACATTACCTTTCAATGACTTTTTTTTAAGATTTTATTTATTTATTTGTCAGAGAGAGCAGAAGCATGGCAAGCTGTAGGCAGAACAGGCAGAGCAGGAAGAGGGAGAAGTAGGCTCCCTGCTCAGCAAGGAGCCCGATGTGGGACTCGATATCTAGACCTGGGATCATGACCTGAGCTGAAGGCAGATGCTTAACCAACTGAGCCACCCAGGCATCCCACCTTTAAATGATTTCTTTATTTTATAAGTGGAAGTTTGTACTTTTTCATGCCATTCACCCATTTCTCCTGCACACCAAATCTAACAACCATTTATTTATTCTCTGCATCTATGAAATTCTTTTTTAGTTTCTACATATAAGCAAGATCACATATTTGTCTTTCTCTGACTTATTCCACTTACCATAAGGTCCACTCATACTGGATTTCCTACCTTTTTATGGCTGAATAATATTTCAGTGTATGTGTGTATACACAAAATGTATGTACAGATTTTCTAATCCATTCATCTGTCAGTGGTCACATAGGTTATACCCATGTCTTAGCTATTGTAAATAATGCTGTAATGAACATGCAGGGGCATAAATTTTTTCAAGATCGTGATTTCATTGCCTTTGGATATATACCCAGAAGCAAAATTGCCAAATCAAAGAGTAGTTCTATTTTTTTTAATTTGTGGGGAACCTCAACACTGTTTTCCATAGTGATTGCAACAATTAACATTCCCAACAGTGTACAAAGTTTTCCCTCTTCTCTACAGCTTAGCTGACATTTGTTATATTTTTTTTCTCTGAAGATAACCATCCTAATGGAAATGAGGTAATATTTTACTGTGGTTTTCATTTATATTTTCCTGATGATTAGTGGTGACCTGTTGGCCATTTGTAGGTTTTCTTTGAAAAAATGTCTATATAGGCCCTTTACCTATTTTTAACAAATCGGGTTTTTTTGCTGTTAAGTTGTATGTGTTCTTTATATATTTTAGATATCAACCCTTATGAGATACAAAATATGCAATTATTTTCTTCCATTGTTTAGGTTGCCCTTTCTTTCACTGATTCATGTGCTGTGCATAAGCTTTTGACTTTGATGTATTTTCATTTGTTGAAAGTTTTTCTTTTGCTGTTTGTGCTGTGCTTTTGATATCGTGCCTCCAAATAGTGCCAAAACTTATGTCAATGAACTTCTTTCCTATGTTTTCTTCTGAAAGTTTTATGCTATCAGGTCTTATATTTAAGTTTTTGATCCATTTAAAGCTAATTTTTGTGAGTGGTATGCAATAGGGTTCCAATTTTGTTGTTCTGTGTGTGTTTCTCCAGTTTCTCAGCACACTTATTGAAGAGCTATCCTTTCTCCATTAGATATTCTTGGCTCCCTTGTCAAATATTAGTTAACTATATATACCAGGTTTTGATTTCAGGCTCTCTATTCTGTTCCATTGGTCAATGCATCTATTTTTGTGTTATCATACTGTTTTTATTACTTAGCTTTGTAGTATAGTTTGAAATCTGGAAGTGTGATACCTCCAACTTTGTTCTTTTCTTTTAGGATTGCTTTGGTAACTTGGGGTCTTTTGTAGTTCCACACAAATTTTAGGATTATTTCTTCAATTTCCGTGAAGAATGTCTAGTTTTTGATGTGAATTCCATTGAATCTATAGATGGCTTTGGGTAGTACGGACATTTAACAACATTTTTCCAACCTATGAACATGGGATATCTTTCCATTTGTGTGTGTTTTTGATTTGATTACCACTACATTTTATAATTTTCATTGTATAGATCTTTTATTTCCTTGGTTAAATTTATTCCTAAGTATTTTATTGTTTTTGATACTATTGTGAATGAAATGATTTTTCTTTTTTAGATGTGTCATTGTTAGTGCAAATGAAAGCAATTGATTTTTCTATGCAGATTTTGTATTCTACCACTTAACTAAAATTGATTAACAGTTTTTTGACTGATTCTTTGTGCTCTTGTAGATACAGGATTCTATCTTCAGGAAAAAACCCTAATTATTTTAATTCATCCTTTCCTATTGGGTAGCCTTTTATTTCTTTGTCTTGCCTAATTGTTCTAGCTTAACTTCCAATAATATATTGAATAGGACTGGTGAGAATAAGCATCTTTTCCTTGTTCTCAGTCTTAGGGGAAACACTTTGAATTGATCTCCATTAAGTATAATGTTAACTGTTAGTTTGTTGTATATGCCCTTCATTAAGTTTAGGTAGGTTTCTTCTATACCCAATCTGTTAGGGGGTTTTATCATGAAAGGATGTTGTGTCTTATCAAAGGTTTTTCTGCATCTATTAAAACAAATCATGCAATTTTAGTCTTTCATTTTATTGATATAATGTAGTACATGTATTGATGTTTGTATGTTGAACCATTCTTGCATCCTAAGGATCAATCCCATTTAGTCATGGTGTATAATCCTTCTACTGTGGGAGGCCGCAATAAGGCTTGAGACGAGAACCAAACCAGGCCCTGACTTGTGCCTCCTTTAAAGTCCGAATAACCTAACAAAAGGTTTAGGACAGGAAAAGTTGAGTAGCACTGAGAAAGGGTCTGTGCTATGTGTTGTGCGCTCACCTACATGACTTCCCACACGCTTGCTAAACAAATGAGAACAATTCAGTTGGGGTCATAAGTTCATGGCTGGTCCTTGCTGCCCTAGTACAGCCCATAAGTTACTTTCAGATTTGCTGTACCAATACAGAACAATTGTACTGGCATCAGCCATTTGGCATCACGAGGTCTGCTTATAGTCCATTGTGAAACTTATTATGGGAACTCGTGGTTGTTTAACTAGACACAGATGTATTGCTTCTCCTATTGTAATATCACTATATATCTGGCCTTAATGCTTTGAATAAACTTAGCACTGTTGGACATCCTCCTC